TTGCACGCAGTATATAAGTCGGAACGGCCGGGATCGGCCGACTATATCCTATAGCTGCCATATAACTGATTGATCGGAAATGGTATAACTTTGGTGTTTTTGAAGATAGAAAGCTGGAACTTGGAACAGATTATGTTTTTGGTCTGTTAATCCGCCTACAAAATTTCATAACGATCGGTTGACTATATCTTATAGCTAACATATAACTGAACGATCGGAAATGGTATTTGGTAGAAATATCAACTTTCGTATTTTTGAAGATAGAAGCTTGGGACTTTTTTTTAGATTTTTTATTGTAATTAATTGGTTTTATTATGAAGTAATCATAAGGATCGGCCAACTATATCCGATGTTTGCGATATATATCCGGTTTTACCTGCAAGGGTATATCAACTTCGGCTCCGCCCGAAGTTAGCTTTGCTTTCTTGTTTTAATTTGAAAAAATAATATATAATTTATAATAAAAGTTTGTAATAAATACAACTACTTAAATTTAAATCTTCAAACATTTTAAACATATTTTCGAATGATTTTTTCGAGTGTCCTTTTAGAGAAGCCTTCCATGGGCCTGGAACTTTGGCAGCGAGGCATTTGAGGATTGAGGATTGAGGATTCAGGACGCAGGACTCAGGATCAGGGACTGGGGATTGTGGATTGCAAGTTTGCGGGGGTGTAGGGGCTCTGGAGTAGGTGTTGGCAGTCACCCGCTGTGCCCCGCCATTAGAAATCGCTTAGGCCGATGGCGACGATGCAATTTACGGCGGCTAATAGCAGACATCTTTATGTACGTTATGTGTGTATGATTGCAAGTATGTATGTACATATATGTACATTTACGATGTATTTACATACATCACATTGTTGTGGGCCTTTGTGGAGAGTACGTTTCAGGATGTCTCTTCTGCACAACCGGAAAAGACGCCACAAAAGTTTGACAAGTTTTCTGGGCGGAAACTTTATGATTACATTAAAATATTAATTGAACATAATTGCATAATTCTGCATTAGTTTTTGTGCAATTTTCAACTTTCTATATGACTAAAATGTCTTAAATCATTAATTATATGCTTATTATTTATTTATTATTTTAATTATATTAATCTCAAGATTCAAAATGTTCAAAATGTATCTAATTAACAGTAATCTTTAAAAGCATTTTTCAAATGCAAAATTTTAATAATATATTTAGGTATATTTGAAGCGTCATTTTAAGCTATCTAATCTTTGCAAATTTAATTAATTATACTATAATTATAAAGCGGTGTGTCTCAAATTTTTATAATTCTTGCAAACTTCAAGGTAGACTAATTTTGTTATTCGTTCACCTAAAAATTTTGATTTCTCTTTTTCCATTTTTCAATTGAAACATTTTTAATGGACGTAAAAAAAAATTGCTGAACAGCATCGTGGAAAATCATAACTTACCATATTCATATACATCTCTGAAACACATACATACATATATGTCCATATAGTATATACTACACTCTTCATGTGTGTGTGTGTCTGGAAAAAATCTGAAAATGATAGAAAAATGATTAATTGCAGTTGGCAGTAGTTCAGCAGTCAGTTACTGCCACAGCTTTTGCTTTTTCTCGGCTGCAGCAGAAAATGCAGCCCAGAAAACCTCAGGGCCACACAATGCCAACGAGCTGGTTTTTTTTTGCCACCCAAAGGCGCCTCAAAGGGATTTAAATAATATATTTATTTTAAAAAATCATATATTGAATCATAAATATATTTTTGATCATCGCTCTAAGAACCAAAAAACCAAATTTGGGCTAGGAACCCCCAATTTTTTAATATTTACTAAGCCTCTGTGTACATGTTAGCATTCATGGCTGTCCATGTGTGTGTGGCAGAGTTCTGCCATTATTCCTTTTTATTTTACTTCACCCAGGGTATTATCCTGTTTATTTCAAACTTGTCATCCTTGGAAAAAGATAATATCTTAAAACAAATAAATTAATTTAGTTTAAAGTTTTTCTTGAAATCTAAAAGAGCAACAAAATTTATGAAATACAAATTTATGTAATATTTTATATTTTGACGAAAATTATTCTTATTTTATAAAAAGATATAAAAAGAGTCTTTATATGGATACTTCAAATCATTTATTTTTTAGTATCACTTTCTAGTTCATTCTAAAGTTTAGAAAGCCAATTCTATTTCATCAAATTTCTTTAGGTATCCTTGATTCCTTCATTCGATTCTTCACAGCTTTTTTTAAAGGCCTTCATAAGATGTAGATTTGTTCATTTTTTTTTTAATATAAGTAAAATAGTTCATACAATCATAATATTATTATTGGTGTTTGGTATTCTTTTTACTGCTTAAATAAAGATTAATTAAATTAATCAATCGCGACACTCACCCCGAAAGTACATTAAAGAGTATTGATTATTCGGCTTTACCCGAAACTAGCTTTTCTTCTTTTATTTTATTTTTTTTTAGCACAACAGCAGCTGACTGCAGCGATATTAATGATAGATATGCGTTCGCTTCACTGCGCGACCCCTTCTGCTACCCCTCTTTCCCACCGATTTACCCAGAATTATACGATAATATTCCAGCCATTTCCCGGGGGGTTCGGCAACTGACGGGTCTGACGGGGAAGAAGCTTTAAATGAGAGTAGCAAGAGTGTTATACATGTGAAATATAAATAGCTTTGGCATTTAAACAGCAATTACAACAATTTCTGCATTCTGCGAATAAATAAAGCCGAAAAATTGAACGATTGGTAACGGAAATTAAGGCATGCTAAAAAAATAATAATAAAACAATACTTTTACTCGCTTTGATGGTTTAATATATAATAGTATAGTATAGATTCCATTATTCACAACTTTCTCTCTCTATGAATTTAGACTAAAAGTAAAGTAGAAATTGCGAGTTATTCCTAAAAAATCATTAGTGTTTGGGGCTTGATTATTTTTTCTTTCAAAATTATATTATTTCGAAAATTTCTTTAAAATAGAGGGTTTTAATTCGAGCCTCAAACACGAATGATTTTTTAGGAATAACTCGAAATTTCTCATCAAATTAAAGGTTTATGAAATAAAAAAAAATATGATTACCATTGAAAGCAAAGAAAATAAGGTCACGTGATTAAAAAACAAGAAAGGAAAGCTAACTTCGGGCGGAGCCGAAGTTTATATACCCTTGCAGTTAAAACCGGATATATATCGCAAACATCGGATATAGTTGGCCGATCCTTATGAGAATATGATAATATTACCCAATTTATTATAATACAAAAACCAAACCTAAAAATGTCCCAAGCTTCTATCTTCAAAAACACAAAAGTTGGGTCATTTCCGATCGTTCAGTTATATGGCAGCTATAGGATATAGTCGGCCGATCCTAATGAAATTTGGTAGGTTAGATCATCTGGCCAAAAATATAATCTGTTTTAAGTTTCAGCTTTCTATCTTCAAAAACACGAAAGTTGGGTCATTTCCGATCGTTCAGTTATATGGCAGCTATAAGATATAGTCGGCCGATCCTTATGAAATTTGGCAAAGTTTCAAGTCGATAGCTTTAAAACTGAGAGACTAGTTCGCGTAGAAACAGACAGACGGACAGACAGACGGACAGACGGACAGACGGACAGACGGACATGCTCATATCAACTCAGGAGGTGATCCTGATCACGAATATATATACTTTATAGGGTCGGAGATGTCTCCTTCACTGCGTTGCACACTTTTGACCAAAATTATAATACCCTCTGCAAGGGTATAAATATTAAATATAGATTTTGTAAGCTAAACCCAAAATGTAGGCTCCCCAAAAATAACAAAATAATGCATAGAAAGTACATAGCTGCTTTATTTTTGCGAGATGCTGTCCGTTGAAAATTTTGGCACTTTGTCCGCTTGTCCGCCGTTCTGTGTCCGCCTGTCCGTCTGTCCCTTCATTGTGTGCGCATCGTTGCCTTTTTGGCACTAATTTCCATTTATTCATTTAGTTGCAACATTCATTTCGGCAGCCATTCACACACAGAGACTCTCAGACGCAGACTGTGGATGTGGTTTGGGAAAATGCGGGGCAAGCTACAGGGAGCAGGAGGCGGACAATTCGCCTTTCATTTATCAGCACAAAGCAGTACAGTCGGACACCCCCGCCCACTGCGCTCCGCTACACCCATGATGAGATGGTTAAGGAGTGACAAAATGTAACTCGTTCAAAATGTGACAAAAAAGGTCATATGGCAGATATAAAACAAACAGTGGAAAACGAAGGAAAATGACAGCCAATGCTCTGCAAGTGTCACTTCTGCTTTTCCTGCTTTCCTGCTAGACCCCTCCTCCGGGCAGGACTTTTTTAGGATGCTGGTGAAAAGCCACGAGTCGAGTTCCCATGGGTTTTTTGTTTGTTTGCGGCTGCCGGCGAGCTGGGCTGCCTGATGAAAGGGTTCAAAACTATTTTCAAACTATGTATTTAGCGTGCATTATATAGAGTTGGAGGTCCACCGACAGGGGCATCCGACAAGGGGCCAAGGGCAGAAGCAGGGTCCTGGCAGGGTCATCATCATCAACATCAGGGTACATCAGCTGTAGTCGGAGTTGGCGTCGCAATCGTCATCGCAGCTGTTTTTATGAAGTCCTTTGGCACGGTGGGTTTGGGTCTATCGATATGTAATATGTAATATTATAAATATAATAAATATTACATACTATACAATATTCAATATTTTATTTTGTTGTAATAATATACAATATTCCTCTTATATATATATTAAAACAATAATGGAGCTTTCCTCATAAAGAATGTTACGAAGAAGTCATCTGTTTCTGCAATTCGGTTTAGGTTTGGCACTTATTAATTATTTAATAAATAATTAAATTTAATTAGCAGGAGTCCAACAGGGCTTATCTTAAAATGTCTGAAATTCAAATATCGGGGTTATTTTGTCCGCCTTTTCCCAACTTTTTCGAGTACCAAAAATTCAATTTCAGTTCATTATTTATTTGGAATTATTTTATTTGGCAAAGTTATACAAAATGCTGAAATTAGAGCTAATATTAAAAATTATGGATATATTACATATAAATGAATGAATACATTGGCTAAATTCTATTTTAATTCTAACAATTTTTTCCCCAAATCCATCTAAAAGGGGTCTTTGTTTCCTTTTATCCTTCCTTCGGCTCTTCAGACTTAAATATGTACGTACCTTGATTTTTTGTTATAAAAGTCCGTTAAGCTTCAAAAAATGTTGTTTCCTTTTTTAAAGAATTTAAAAATATGTTACAACTGATTTCTTCTCTGCACATACTGCTATAAGAGAGTTGATCCGAAGAAAAGATTAAAGGAAACAATGAGCTCTTCAAAATGGATTTTGGAAGAAATTAGAAGAATTTTTTGCCTTAATTTGGCCAAAAAGTCCCGTCGTAAACGGCAAAAATACAGCAAACGGCAAAAATAAAAAATTTCAACTTTATATAAACTTCATGAGGCTGTCGATTAGTCAAAGTAAGCACATTTCCCAACTCATTGCTCCGATGTGTTCCGATATACCCGACTCCACTTTTAAACATATGACTCATTTTTTTTAATTATGGTATTATGACCTAACCAACATCCAACTTAACCAGATCCCTTAACTGGTAGTGAGGATAAAAGCCTGCGGCTAGTTTTCTTGTGGACCCACGTTTTCTAGATCTGGAAGAGATGGGTCACTTGATGTATTATTTAAATGTTATTGGGTTCCGCCAACTTACCTTTGGTAGTATTATAAAGCTTCCATCATTTGTAACATTCCTCATTTGATATTTGACAGTTCTTCATTTTTTATATATATTTTTTTTGTAAAAGATTTCTCCGAATGGATTGCCTGAGCTTCACAATAGAGTGATGAACAGCAGCATACTCTTCTTCTATTTCATCAGAAAGATAGCATGACTGTGGAATTTATAGTTCATTTTATATAATACTTAATTTTAAAAATAAATACACTTTAAGCTTTAATTACCTTCTGGTAATTTTCCAGAGAGATAGGAATAAAATAAACTATAGAAATGTAGAAGGAAAATTTGTTTTTGTGTGACACAAACTTTTGTGTTAAAGAACCACTAGAAGAATTGCAACTGATGTTCCGAAGCTTATGGCTCCGGCTTTTTAAATCATCTGCGACCCTGAGAGAGGCCTGAGAGTTTCTTATTAGAAGCAGAGTCTATGAAATCTGGACTATGATTTTATAATATAATCAAAAAATTCCATGAACGTAAGGCGTCCGGATGCGAAGTCAAAGGTCGAAAAAAATTTGATTAGCAACATTGAATATACTTCAATGATTTTTGGTTTCTGTATATTTGTATACTTGACCCATTTATCAGGTATGCACTTAGATAAGGTATTTTTTAAGCGTGTTCTAATTACGTAACTCTGATTAAACAGTCAAGTTTTTGAGGCAAGTACCAAATCTTTCTACGAAAAAAAGTCAATACGTTTTTGTCATACCCTCCTTTTCTTCTTCACAAAGTTAGTTCATCTGGAAATGTTTGGTGGACGGAAAAAAAAACTTTTATGATTCTGCTGGTAGCTTCAAAATTTTTAAATTCATACCATAAAATTGCATAAATTTTTATTAGGATCGGTTCACTTTATTCACATTTTGCATTGTTATTTACAATAGAAACCACCATTTACTTGACAGGTATACCAGCTTCGACTGTGCCCAAAGTTCAATTTTCTTTCTTAATTTCTTTTTTGGACATTTTTTATTTATTTTGATAAGATTAACAATATTTTGAATATTTTGGATGATTAACTCAATTCAAATGATTGTACATACATTTTATACATTTTAAATGTATAGGATTATTTTTATGAACATATGTTTGTTGATGAGTTATGTATATATTATAAATAAATATGAAAATATGTAATACATATGATATAAAATAGCGTTATTGAGGGGTGTTAAAAATTTTGTATATAAGGTAAATAAAAAATACTGAAGTCTGAAACTTTAAAAACATATCGTAACTTTGTTGGGTGTCGAACAAATTTTGGACGTAGAGAAACCAATTTTTTACCAATGTCCTCGTGGGTATTTTAGTGTCCAACTGGCCTGGACCCTCGTTTTTTGAGGACTCTTGCCCACTTGTAACATATTTTTTGGGGCACGGATTAGTTGCACGTCATGTTGCCACTTGAAGTGTTTATGTGAATGGCGCCGCACACAGACTTCGACTTGAAGCGATATATATACCTACAAATATATATGTATTAAGGTGGACCAATTTTGTGAAAACCAAAACAATGCAAACACAAATCTTAATTTAAGGTTTCCATGCCAAATTTTCGTGACAAATCATTTTCAAATTTTTTTTTTTTATGCGGACCACCCTAATGTATCTTAACACTAGTATTTATGGCACATATCATGCGACACTTAATAAAAACAATGTCCCCAACATGCCGCCTTAAATGGAAATCCATTTTCTCCTCCACACATATACCCATCTCCCTCTTGTGGCCCATCGTGCGTCTCATTCGACTCTATAGAACTCAAGTGTCCTGTTCTGTTTGGCTTTTGTTTGGCGAGTTATTTAAAATGTCTGCATTTGTTCCTTTTATCCTTCATCCTTTATCCTCGAGCCCCGTTTTTCCCCGTTTTCTGGCTCCATAAATTTATAATTAATTGTTTTAAAGCTTCTCGCTGTCTGTCCGCTTTTTGTTTGTAATTTACCCAATGGAACAGGGACACTATATCATCTTGTGGCTTTCCATTTGGATTTACATTTTGCCCGATTTCCCAAAATGCTTTTTGTTTGCCTGTGTTGCCTCCTGTTAACCCTATGATGATATTCTTAATCGTTTTAGTAATTAGTAGTTCGTGGTTTCCTTGGTCCTTCAACCAGAAGTTTCAGAATGTGACCCATAAAGGAGTCTTGTCCTTTGTCAAAAGAATTGCTAGCTTGCCCGTAGAAGAGGTCCTGAATATTTTTTTTAATATTTTGGTTTGTTACCCTTACTACTTCAAATTCCGATTCCGTTTTCTCTAAAATACTCCCTTCAATTGTCTTGAATCCCCTTTCCATTTCCCCAATTTTCCTCCAAAGACAAACAATCATCGACACTCGTTAAAATTATTAAAAAGATGCGTCAGCAAAGAAATAAGCAATAAGTTCCTAGACATTAAAAATTTTCTCAGGCTCAAAATAAATCTTTTGGCTTTGGTTTTTATCTCCTTTGGCTTTTTGTTCCTTTTTTTAACTGCCCAGTGTTCTACGTGCCCTGCCTTGGCTAGATATTTATGCCTTTGCCAGACAAGTGATTGACTTAATGCTAATTCGCGACTCAATTGTTTCAAATTTTTGGCCCAGCCGAACAAATGCAACTGGAATTCATCGTCTCACACTCTGCCACATAGACACGGTGAGGCACTGGGAGAAATTCGTTTTGAAATTAAAGATTTTTGAGAATCAATAAAGAATAAGAGAATCAATAATATTAAAGCTGCATTTTTTGTATTTTTGATATTTTGCATATTTGCATTACCTTCAACTACGCATACCTATTGCAGATTTTAAATTTAACTTTTCTAATATGTTCATGTATATAATACATAAACATGAAAAGCTCATTTAATACGGAAGCAGTTCCGGACATATAGAAACACTATTGGGTTTTCACTGATTTACTAAATATATATTTCCAATACATCTTTAATTTTACTAAAATAAATTGAATAATTTTACTAAAAAATGTGTTTTATAAAGATATAAGATGTAAAGATGTTATTTCCAATTACCGGATAAAGGTATGTAAGAGCTAAAGTATCGGGTATCTCATAGTCGAGAAATGGACTAAGGACGTTCTCTTATTCACTCATGCTTAAGGTAAATTTGTATATTTATTAAGTGCATACGACATATAAGCAAAAGTTTCTGCAAAAATAATTGAATTAATAATATCTAAAAGCACATAGTTTTTTTCAGTGCATATAACGATGACGCAGCCTATGGATAATTGGAAGGAGAAGGCACAATAATGTCGCCTCGTTGCGCTGTAATCCACTCAAGGCGCTCCTCGGCCACTTAAGAACAGCTACCCGCTACCCGGCTGTCCGGCTGTCCGTCTGGCCATCTGTCCGCTTGTCCGCCAGTTTGTCAGTCGTCCGTCGCAGAGACAACAACAATTGACGAAATTGTTTTCGTGACTTAAATTTTTGCGTGCTGCTGTCGCTGCTGGTTGGGACGTGTTTGGAAAGCATATGATGTGATTTGGCATCAAATTGAGTTGTCTTGTCACAGCTCCTTCCGCACAGGCCACTCCTCCTCCTCCTGGCACACCCCAGAACATATATATATATATGTATATAGATGTAAGTAAACTGGATTCCGGGCAGAAATGCAATTAAATTTGGAAAAATATCAACAGCCAAGACGGAATAATAGTTTATAATAGCAGGCAAGGCAACAGAACGATTTATGACAGGCTCTCTCTTAGCTGAGAGGCCCGAAAGCCTAGAAAGTGGGCTTCCTTTGAATAAACACACTTTGGAGTGTGGAAAGTGCCACCCACAGAACCCCATCCCCTTTTTCGCTGTGTGTACTTTTGTGGGTGCCAAAGTGAGATGTAGAAAGTTTGCCGAGGCTGAGACCGAAATGGAAATGTAACTCCTACATAGTTGTTAGATCCTGCTCTAAGGATCTCGGCCAGATGCTAATGCCGTTGCCAAAGTCTTGGGCAAATGTAACTGGACAGGTTTTAAGGGGTACAGTGGACAATGGTTTTGAAGGAATTGGTGTAGTATTTATTATTCCGAATTGAAATATTAAAGAAATCAATTATCTCAATAGTTAAGTGATTTAAAAGCCAAGAGTACCGATTATCACATACCAGAGGCATGGGATTTCTGACAAATTTATTTTTTTTAATTAAACCTAAACCATTATCATTTGAAATTCCTTCCTAAGAATAGTTTCTCTCTACTGTAGTCCTTCAAATAATTTCAACTGATCGGATTCGAATGGCTTACACTTTTATTAAACATCAAACACTATCCTTTACCCAGGAACCCTACACTCTTGAAACGCACTGTTGCCGTGAAACACTTGAAACGAGTCGCCTATATCCTTGTACACATTTTGTAGAGCAACTAAATTACACAATGTTAATATTTGCAAAGTAAATATGCATTCGTGTGAGGATGGCAACATAAATGAATCGCAGGAAGGACGGAGTGGGAGCTAGAGTGCTCGAGGGGTTGTGAGGTTGATGGGTGGACGAGTATGGGAGTGCTATGTGGAAAGTGCAGCTTGGTAGTACGGCTCTCTGTTCTGTTTATTTCTTATATCTAGCGCCACAAAAGGCCTAAACTTGAAACACAAACCGACTGGGTTGTCTATTTAAATAAACCGAAACAAAAACTTGCCACAATTCGAGCAATTCTCAACAGCAAATGACAAAATTGCTCTGTTCTATGCTTTTCTATCCCTCGGGGCCAGCAAATTCCAAGGAAAACATTACCGCACTGAGAGAACAGCTTGTAAATGCATATAAACGTACATATGTCTATGCAGATGAATATATACGTATATGCCGACATATATGTCCTAACAGCCCACAAAGACCTTATCGAAACAAACAAGGAGAGTACACACACATCACAAATACAGAACCCGGGTCTGAGGACTTGGAGCAGCAAGGACACAGGGTCAAAGGGCTTCAGTTTGCAAATCAAGTGTTCGACAAGTTGGACACAAGTTATGCCATCGTGAATCACAAAAAATAAGCAAGGACTAAACAGCAAATCATTTTGCGGAATTTTAATTAAATTTCGAGAACTAAATTGTCTAATAATAAGTAGTAGGTGAGGAGAAATTATATAAACCGCCATGATTGATTTATTAATGTAGGCTTAGTCTGAGGTTAACCTTATTTTCTTTGGAGGTACTATTATAATAAAGTCAAATAATTTAGTCCGAAATTATGAGCAAGAGTAGCAACATTTATGATTTTGTTTCAAAGAATATGCGCGACAATCGCTCTTGTGCATCCTTTTTTGTTAATCGGTTGTTAAAATCTAAAAAATATATAACAATTTCTAAAAGCATCTTCAATAA